TATATATATATATATATATATATATTTATATATTTTTTTTTTAGGTTTATGTGCTAAAATTATCAAAAGAAAAAAGATTAAATAAATATTTAAAAAAAATGAAAACTGAAATTACAGCTAATTAAAAAAACTACTAATATAGTGTATAAATAATAGTAAAATAGCACTGCCTATTACAGATATAAAAATAATCTGATTTGACTTGAAATTGATTTAATTATATTAGCTGTAATTGCAGAAAAAAACTCCCAGCTCTAATCTGTTAAATGTAACTGATTTGACTTTGAATTTATTAGATTAGACATAATTTAATATAAAACACTAAATAACTGACTATTAACTGATTTCGCATAAAAAATGTACTGTAATGGCTATGGGATTTTTGTAAAAATTGCCAGTTGAGTTTATATAGACTTACAGGTTACACTTTACTTGAAGGGGTGTGCATAAGACTGACACCTTCACGACTTACATTAATTAAACCATGGTAATAAGGAGCCATCTATGGTTTTACTATAATCTTACTAGTACAAACATTACAGAAAACATTGGTTATTATGAAATATGTTAAGTTTTCATCAATAAGCTGGTAAATGGTGTATTGGGATTTTCTATTATGCCTCTTAATCTTTAAATATGACTTTGTGCTCTTGTTCATGGCCTCTCATGTTCAACCCTCCGATTATAAACCTGAAATAGCCTCCATCTGCCCCCTCTATCCCTCTCAGTTTATTTTTAGTATCACATCATCCTCCTAAAACTAGGGCAAAACGTCTCAGCATGTCTCTGACTGTGTTCGCCTCTTTTCAGAGGAAACCTAAAGACCCTCCCTCACTCATTAGTGGTCCAGCAGGTACATGAGAGCCGGTCCACTCTGACCCCTGATTAAAACATGATTCATGAACAAATGACTCTTATGGACCAGATCTGTTAATGAATCAAATCAATAGGACCAATGAACACTGACTTCAGTTCAAATCAATCTAAAAAAAATTCTTGATGAACCCACTGACCTGATGTTTGTGTAGTTGAAGGGATAGTTCTGCTGAACACAAAAGAAGATATTTTGAAGATTGTGGGCAACCAAACAGTTGCTGGTCCCCATTGACTTCCATAGTATTTTTTATTCTATACTATGGAAGTCAATGGGGACCAGCAACTGTTTGGTTGCCCACATTCTTCATAATATCTTCTTTCATATTAAACAGAAGAAAGAAACTCATACAGGTTTGGAACTACTTTAGGGTGAGTAAATGAAAAAAAAATTTTTTTTGAGTGAACTTTCCCTTTAAATATACATAAGTCATAATAGGAACTGAAAAAATTGCTCTGTTTCAAAACTTAGAGTGTGTGTTTTTTTGTTTTTTTTTAAACATCGCACAGCTCCAATCTGCTAAATGTGAAAGGCATGACTGTATGTCACACAAAAGCCCTATGACAAAGCCCTAAAACAGGCAATTAATCGTCATAATCGCAGCCAAATTTCATAATCGTGACAGCCCTATTAGTCAGCACTGACCGACTCTTAAAGATGATGTCAGCACAAGTGGTTGGTCACAGAGACGCAGAGAAACACGAGCCTCCACTTCCTGTACACAGTGCAGAAATGAGCAGCACATGCCCTCAACAAAACTGCCACAAGAAGTCAAAGGAAACATTCAACAATGCCTTCATGCAGCAACACAAACAGACACACACAATACATACTGCATTCACACACAGACGTGAGTTCACTCCACATGCCCTGTCCGTTATAGATGACCTTGCATTGTCCTGTAGTGTATGTGACCGGCACAGATACTTAAAAATAAAACAACACGCTCGCACACATGCTCAGTGCATGTACGAATCTCGATATGGTCTCACCGTCTGCAGCATATTGATCATAAAGCTCCTCATTCTGTATGTTTAGCACCGGCATGACTGCTCTTCTCTCCTCTCCTCTTTCGATCCATCCATCTGTCCCTCTCCCTCCCGCCAGCTCTGCTGTCAACTGCACTTAAGAGACCTGACCACTGAATTCCTGTGCCCTTGCCAGGGACGGGATGGGCACACACACACACACACACACACACACACACACACACACACACACACACACACACAAGTGTAGGGCAATAGCAGCAATGCTACTAGCTTAACTGCATGTTTCAAAGGCTTGATAGAAGCTCAGCTGTTTTCAAAATAATGTAGATTTGTCAGTAACAAGCCACTTTTCCCACAGTGTCCTGTTACAAAATTATTAATTACAAAAATAATTATATAAAATTCGGTAACACTTTAATTTAAGGTGTCCTTGTTACACATGTTACATGTACTTACTATTATAATAACAATGAATTATGCATAATAACATGCAGGTTACCCTAAGCCAAACCCTAATCATATAGTAAGTACATGTAGTGAATTTATATTACTGAGTACTTAAATGTATAATTACACTGTAACAAGGACACCTTAAAATAAAGTGTAACCTAAAATTCAAATGATATGAAATAATTATAATAATTACAGTCAATATATTTTTTTATCATTATGTACACACGCAGCTTTACTGCCGAGCAAACTGAGGTTAAAAAACAAACATGCTGTCCTAAAATGCCTCTTTCTCCCTTATGTAACATCGGAAAGTTTAATTGATTTTAATTCGTTCTGACAGTATGTAAATTAACCTATAACAAACATGAATTATTTATTCTGTTTATATGGGCAATGCATCCTGGAAAATAAAAACTGAACTATAATAAAAACAAAAGCATTCTAAATAACATTAAGTTTGAGAAATAAAAGTTGAAAATCTAAGTAATAAAAAAATTAAAGCTAATAAAATAAAAAAGTATTTACTGTCCATTTCAGGGCTAAATGCTTCAACCCTTTAAAGGACCACTCCACTATTTTTGAAAATAGGCTCATTTTCCAACTCCCCTAGAGTTAAACAGTTGAGTTTTACCATTTTCAAATCCATTCAGCCGATCTCCGGGTCTGGCGGTAGCACTTTTAGCTGTAGCTTAGCATAGATCATTGAATCGGATTAGACCGTTAGCATCTCGCTCAAAAATGACCAAAGAGTTTCTATTTTTTTTCCTATTTAAAACTTGACTCTTCTGTAGTTACATCGTTTACTAAGACCGACGGAAAATAAAAAGTTCAAAGTTGGCATTAAATGCAAATGTGTTTTCTAAATGCATGTTATTGATTTTACTGTAAACAGTTCATCAATGCATATGCTTTCTTTTTAAAAAAGTTTTTGACCTTGTCAATGTTTAATCAAAATATGATAAAAAAAACTACTTTGAATATCATAAATCTTTGGGCGAAACAACAAGCCTAGATAAGGATATTTATAAATGATTTTACAGAGATCAGAGTAACAAAGAGCAATTTGCAACTAGATAACAAGAACCAAAGAAATGTCTATAACTCCTTAACTTAAAATTCTTTTATTTTTAAAAATCCCTGATATTTTCAGGAACACTGCCTATTTGAGACTTACTGTTGATGATTAGAAATTTCAAAAGAACAGCATTTATTTGAAAATAGAAATCTTTTGTAGCATCAATTTAGTTTGCTGAATAAAATACATTAAAATATTAAATAATAAAAAAACAGTAGGTTTTCATAGTAAACTTTTGCATAAGGGCCACAGTCAAACTATTTATCACAGTGAAGATGCTTGTGTGTGTTTGTCAAACTCAGGAGGGTGTGGATGTGGGTTTTGTGCACAGAGAGATCAAAACAAACCAAACAAAAGTGAAAGTGAATTTAGAATTGTGCATGGTGAACGATTTAATACAACAAACTCCTTGTAATAATCTTACTTGGCGAATACATTCCGAGTGAAATTGAAAGAAAATGTTTATTTTTTACAAATTATAGTGCAATCGCCTGCTTTTATTTCCAGCTAATCTTTAGAGCAAGATCCTAAGCACTTAATCCTCAGATCACTGTATGTTAGCGGTTTCCTTTACAACTCCGGTATTCACCGAACCTGAAAAACTCGATGTATTCTCTTGTTACTGTCAGAAGATAAGCAGCCATGCAAGGCCTTTCTGTCAAATAATTCACGATAAGAAAACCATGCATGCATATTTATGATCTTCCTCTTTTTGTATTTCTCCAGGAAGTTATTACTGTTTTGGGAAGTGCAAAGCTTGCGATGACAACCTGTCCTTTTAATATCGAGCCTCATGCCCACAAAGTCTGACCAGCCCATTATAGCAAACTCTGCGTGGAGAAGAACAGACTCTTCATCAATCAGACAGTCTCAGGGTCAAACCAATGAGATCTCAACCTGACTCACAGGACGAGAAAAACAAGCATATCCAAACATCAGACTGTCATTTTATTATTGACACATCGAGAACCGCTGTCAGACGCATCCCAAAAGTAAAGGTATGTTTGTGAGGGTGCGGTTCTGCTGTTCAAACGCTCTTCTGCCTCTGCAGTGGCATGAATCCAAACGCTTCCAGCAGCATTGTGTCTGATCCAGACGTTAATGCAGAGCTCATGACGGCTGCCACTGTGATTATACCAGCATGACTTCCAACAAGCTCTAAGTGACACCTGAAATAAATTACACTCGTCCCCTATATTCTCAGCCTCCCGTTTTGCTTAAGGGCAAGAAGCGTCAATACACCTCCATTAGCACTTAGCAGCATGTCATCTGTTCATCAATCTTCCCTCTGACCCACAGCAAGCTGTCGATAAGTCAGAGAATGTTAGACTTAATAGTGCAACTATTAGTGGAACTTAATAGTATATATATATATATATATATATATATATATTAAAATGTTTTTTTTTTTACTTTTAATATTCAAAATGTTAGGCTAGTTTGTTTATACAAATAATGTATTCTCTTTAACTTAATAAATAAATAATATAAGATATAAAACAAAACGTCTTAAGTATGGTTGACTAAAAGTCAATAAGTCGTGTTCATGAATTATGAAATTCATAAATCAGATGTCAGTGATGACAATGAAGGGCATATTAGACCTTTTTTTTTTTTTTTACATAACCACAACCTTCCAGTGATTTATCACTAAGATCCACTGATAAGGATGAATATATTTATTTTTATCATAGCACCTGAGCTGAGATACATGAACAAAAGCAGCACAGAGATGCTCTATAATGATGCAGTGTGAGGGGAAAAACAATCCATTTGATCTGATGCAACAGATTTCATAATGCCTGCAGATTATCCAGAACAGAGTTATGACACTCAGAAAACACATCCACTCATCCGTTGATCGCTCACTTCACAACATACCCAGAAATGCACTGCTCTGATCCCGATGCACACGAGCCAGTGTCTATATGAGCCTCCCTCATGAGGCACATCCGTGATTTTACCCGCTACAGCCCCTCAAACTCACCCACTCTCCCTGCATACACACAAATGTACGCGCATGACTTATTAAAGAACGGGAAATCTCTCTCTTACCTCTAGTTCACTTGAAATCCGTCTTTTTCCTGAGCGCTACCGGTGCATGCGGCTCCTGTCACTTCGAGCGTCTGAGACAATAGCGAAGAAGAGCGCGCGGGAGGGAGGGGCTTGTGTGTGTGTGTGTGTGTGTGTACTTACGTCATATATTCCGCGACATTTGTTTGTGATAAAAGTCCCTGAGAGATCTATTTATTTATTTATGGATGACAATTACAAACATTATTATGCATATTAATTTTTTTAACCAGCAAACAACAACAACAATAATGATGATGATAATAATAATAATAGAGAAAGAGAATGGAGATAGAGAAAATTAATTATTTTCTACATGTAAGGTAATAAAGTAAGATGTTGAAGTCCCTAATTCAAAAATAAACACAGTTTGTACAATTATTTTAGGGATTCTAAAAGTGCAATTTAATTTAGGCTTTCCACTATTTTTAGATCACAAGAAAAAATCTTGAATTATTATTATTATTTTTTTTTTTATTGCTTGAAAATAACATACAAATACCAGGTAAACAACAGTAAGAAAAATCTTAATACAATCCCAATAAGCCCAAATAGCAGCACGACAAAGAGAAATATATAAACAAAATAAACATAATTAGAATGTTAAGAAAGAAAAATAAAAAAATCATTGTTTTAATTGCTTTTTTTTTATGATGCATGAGTTTTAAAGATTTAAAGAAGACCATTAAATCCTTCTTGAAAAGTAAGAAAGTGTGTGGGGGGTTATCTGGAATCTGCATTTATGAGTGAATTAATTCGCCAAAATCACAATATCATTAACTAAACGTTCACCATCAAAGTTCCGAGAAAAGACAAATATTTTTCAATTTTAAAATCAAAGTCAGGTATTACAATCTTCAAACTCAACCAAGCATTTTTAGACAATTTGCATACTCTATGTCTGCTTCACAAAACTCATTACAAGCCAAATTAGATCTGTGTCTGAGGAACTCATTACAGGGATAAATATCGTTAATCATTTTAAACTGAATCCTAAATGATTATTGAAATGGTGATTTTATTATGCACACCCTTACGGCGTGCGAGAGCGACTTTTATTATGTAAACATCTCCGCTACGTTAAGCGTGGCGCGTGATCAGCTGGGACTGTGAAGAAACGCTTTGGCAACTCAACTTAGAAATGTTATTTGGTAAATGTGAGAGGCGCTGCGCGATTTTTCCTCATATGATAAAACTGTGATGTGACCGAAGTAACTGTAACGGCCCAGAACTGACGAAATCAGTTTACAGCAGAACCTCCATCCATGCATGCATAACAATGGTGAGTTTTTGTTACATCTGGCTTGGAGCTTCTCACCAAACTCTGAAAATAATTGCTGTGCATAATATTGGAAATTAATAATAGTCATCATAGCACGTGCGAATAATGTTAATCCCGCATTATTAATGTTATGTCAAAAATCTCTACTACAGTCACCAAATGCATTAATGCACCATTAACCATAATTCATATGAAACAGGGTGGATTTAATTTGAGACCCTTCTAGTGCACCGTTACTCCTTGTTAAAGATTTT